ATTTCGAATTTTTAAATTTCAGCGATTAGCTCCTCGATTCTCATGCTCCCCTGATACTTTTTTGAAAATTTCGAATTTTTCAATGTCAGTGAATATCTCCTCGATTTTTTTCGGGAATTTCGAATTTTTTAATTTCAGCGAATAGCTCCTGGATTCTCATGCTCCCCTGATACTTTTTTGAAAATTTCGAATTTTTCAATTTCCGTGAATCTTTTCATGTTTGTGCTTTTCATGTTCCCCGGATACTTTTCCGACAATTTTGAACTGTCACATTTCAGTGAATACGCCCGCTGGAGCTTTGAGCAAGGGGCGGACTGGGGGCGTCGCTTGGGGGCCGAGGGGGCGTGGGCTCGTGACAGGGGGGCGACTTAAAAAATTTCGAATTTTCCAATTTCAGTGAATACCTCCTCCATTTTTTTTGGAAATTTCGAAGTTTCAAATTTCAGCGAATACCTCCTCGATTCTCATACTCCCCTGATACTTTTTCAAAAATTTCGAATTTTTCAATTTCAGCGAATAGCTCCTCGATTTTTTTCGGGAATTTCGAATTTTTAAATTTTAGAGAATAGCTCCTCGATTCTCATGCTCCCCTGATACTTTTTTAAAAATTTCAAATTTTTCAATTTCAGTGAATACCTCCTCGATTTCTTCGGGTATTCACTGAAATTGAAAAATTCGAAATTTTCAAAAAAGTATCAGGGGAGCATGAAAATCGAGGAGGTATTCCCTAAAATTAGAAAATTCGAAATTTTTCCAAAAGTACCAGGGAAGCATTAAACTAATTGAATTTGCGGGACTAATTGAAGATTGAAGTGGAAATCCTGAAAAGTGGGTAATGAAATGGTCAATGTCCTAGGTAGTAACCGTGAAGATGAGATAATGAGTGAGAAAGGGCGAAGTGAGTTGAGGAGTTGAAGTGAGAGAGGAATATTTGAGGCGGACATATATGGTAGGGGGTACAGAAAAGCTCAGGTTACGCCAACAGTTGATGTCTTGAGCTTTCGTGATTCCATCGTCCCCACCCAATGCCCCTGTGCTTTTTCTCTTTCGTTTATTTTCCCCACTTCATCCAACCCATTGCCAATGTATTATTCCTCATCCTCGTTTATTCAGTGGTATCTCGCCTTGTCTTTCTTGTCCATGCACCTCTTGAGTCTGTATTGACTACCCAAAAATATCAGGGCATCGTTGAGGATAATGCTTCAGAGAAGGAGAAAAAGGGGGCGGAGTCTCTCGTTATTTCGAGATTATCGGGGATTGCCGGCTTTCTATAATTGTGGATATAATCGTCGAAAAAAAATTTGTCACTGTACTTCAAGTACTGCAGATATTTTTTTTTATAATTAACCATGGCTGATTCTTTGAATCAATATTAATCAAGTCAATCATCAATCAAGATTGATTTCAATTGACTTGAATCGCGTTGAATCGAGTCGAAAGGTAAATTTTAATCAACCAGTGAAAATGAACACGATGCAAGTGAAAAAAGTTGACGTGACTCAGACCTGTCGAATTGTTCAGCTGAAACTTGACTCATTTTTCTATTCATACCGATTTTTCATCTCGATACAGTTCGACTTTTTATAGTGTACAATTATTTTTGCTGCATTGCTCAATGACCGGTCATGAGTCTATTAATTACATCCGATTGCTCATCGTCACGAGGGAGGATGGATTTGGATAAACATATCGTTTCCTGTGGAATTCGAATGAAAGTATCGATATGCCATCGAGAATTATGATCGTTCGTTAGGAAAATTTGCGCGTGAAGATCGTGAGGAGATTTGCCGAGTATTTTGAGGTCGGGGATCTTTGCCGATCGATTGAAACGATCGGAATGTCTGGCACTGCAACAATTTTTTTATTCCCAATCAATCAAATTCACTTATGCGAATAGACAACATAATGATCCGATGTCTCGTACTCGCACTCATAACACCTATTTCCAGAACGTAACGGGTGGTTAATTTTAGACCGACCGTTCCATATATTTTCCCCTCACACGTTCACATGCGGAGAATAATATTTTTTTGCTGGGAGAATTAAACAAAGGGTCAATAAAAAAAATCACGCCCTGAATCCGCTGTTCTGGTTTTTCGCACGGGAGCGAAAATAAGAAAAAAAATTTAATTTTTACTCACATTGATGCAAAAATTCCAGGTTTTGGAAAAAGGACATATTTTTTGTAGGAATTTTTGATAAATAAGTTTGCAGAAATAATTCTTTTCATTTTATCAATGTGAGTTTTCGTTGGCAGATCTATTCAGAACTCGGCCGTTCATCACTCGGCGGTGGCCCACAAAATTAAAGAGCTAGGTTGAAATTGGGGGGATGCAAGATGCATAAACTGCAAGCTCATAACAAAATCTCGGTCAGTCAACTACTTGCATGCCCCACCTTTTGCTGATTTACCGAGTCACCGAATTCATTGAAGAGATTGAACATCTCCGCCAGTTCTCATCACTCGCATTTTATGAAATCGTCAACCAAAAATTCTATCCCCTCATTCACATTTCGCATAATCCTACTTGTGATCAATGTCTGACTATCTGTTCACTTTTCATTATTCCGATGATTTGCATCTCCGGTTTCTCGAATATTCCCGTGAAATAATTCGAGTGGGAACGCAACAATTTTTGGCTCGTGACAATTGGCGTTTTTTTTTTCTGGTTTTTGTATCGGTTAGCTCCGCGAGAATGTTGCTAAAAATATTCTCGAGCAACCGACACTTTTTCAAAGGAACACCACCAGTTTTCCCGCATTTTTTTTTTCGCTGAATTAATGAGTGTTCGGACGAGAATAATTCTGAAATTTTCTCGCGTCGCGATTTTCAACGGAATTTCTTCACCGGCTCGATGACACCACTGACAACTCTATGACAACTATTTATTTACCATTTTTCTTTCTGAGTGGAAACTCAAAAATTAATAATCCTCATTTTGTTTGTCAGGCAATCGTGCGAATCTATATTTAGCTCAACTGGTTGAGAAAAAAATCCAAATAATCTGGTGACTACTCAAGGTTAAAATTATCCGACACTGTTGTTTTTAAACTTTAGTCATCTGCGTTGAGGAGTTGCACAATCCATGAAGAAACGCAATGCAGGGTGATACACCTACGGGATGGAAAGCAAAATTTGGTTGAAGGGAGGGCTCAACCGAGATCCCAGTGCATTGAACCCATTGAATAATATTTTCCTAGATCAAAGTTGATGAGGGTTATGATTAATCCCGGAAAAGATGGAGGGGAAAATCTCCATGGAGATCTCTCACATGACCTGACTCAATATCAGATAAACGTAATTAACAATTCGAATTTCGGAAGACTTGCGAAATTTTGGAATGACTTGAGTCAATCTGAATTTAAGTCAGAACGAATTCCTGATTAAAGTGAATTTGAAGACCTGATCCCCCAAGTCTCCAGAATTTTATAAAAAAAATCCTAGAGCACCTGAAAGTTCAATGAAACACATTGAGAAAATGGTTTCCGTCCGTGAAATAGGTGATGTGATCTTAACCCATGTGACATTAAAAAACCGAATAACACTGGGCTATCGACGACAGCTGCATGAGGATGGCGATGGCATATACCTAGGGCCTTCAGGTCGCTATACATTCTAATACGTAAAGATAGATCGAGCAGTGAGGGGCGATAGTTTATATTTAGATGAGTGCTCGGGGCTTGCCAGAACTGCGACCAAACTGACTGTTAAAATCTATATATTGTATACGTGAACTCTGTCTTACTCTCGTTTGTCTGATAGCTTTTTTTCCCCCTGTCATCCACTCGCTCTGTTTTCCTTTATCCCGAGATGCTCCTCCTTCCACCAAAATCTAGTCTAGTTTGTAGAACAATTTCACCAGGTATGAATTATATGACAGGGGCTGCGCCAAGTTGGAAATTAAATTATTTATAAATTTCTTGTTCTGGAGCTGTTTGGTGTCACCTGATGGCCTTGACTCCTTTTTCTACTGGGGATAATACATCATGTGTCGGGGGCCTTGGGAAACCTTGGCAATTTTCGATGGTAATGCATAAGTAAACCAGCATGACCCATTTTAGTCGTCACCATCCCCATGCGAATTTCTTGCATGTGAAATTCTTAATGTGACTGACTTTAATCAGATAGAGAAATAAATTGCCAGTCATTTCCGATGTCAACATGGATCATTATTTTTTAATTAATTTAATTGCGCGATAGGGATGAGAATTTTTGAGGGGGCGGCTTGTGCTGAATGTCGAGTCAATGCGTGGGAGAATTCGACGATTTGCATCACTGCAGATTTCTCACAATCGTCGTATATGGGGCAGTTTATTTTTCGCATTTGTTTAGAGACTTATGAGACAGAACTTTATTTTAATACTTGGTTGACCGAACGGGTCAACGTCATCAAACCCCGAGTGACAACATTTGGGATTACTCATCGACACCGGTTTTCGTACCCACAATGGTACCCTCTCCTGCCAAAATTATCTGCATACCTTTCGAGTGATGCTCGTCACTTGTCGTTCATCTACAATAATTCTAGACTCATCTCAATGAATGGTTAACCGAATCTGTGCAATCATTCAATTCTCATTTCGTCAATTGAAAAATCAGATTTTTATTTATTCTTACACTTGCAAAAAAAAATTTCTCAACTCGACTCGAGACTGTCGAATTTCTCTTTAAATCCCCCTATTTTTGAAAATTTGAATTGATTAAAAATTGAGAAAGAGGATTAAAAAAAATGGTACGGTTTGCAGATGTCATTGCGACACCTTTCACATCAATAATTACAGTGGATGTAGCTTGTACATGAAAAAATTGATGTTGAGGGTGGGAGTGTGAGAGAATAGTTTGGGAATGAGGGGTGGGGTTGGGATTTTGAGCGGCTCAAGTAGCAGATTAAAATTTAGTTTTGGTTAGTTCGCGCGCAGGGCCACGGGCGATTGGAACGGCCAACAACTTAGACGACAGACAGACGCGAGACAACGAAACAAGATAGGAAATAAAAGTTAATTACAACTCATTTGTACCGAGAGGAGTTACCGTGTGTGGTGAGGGGGGAGGTGAGTGGGTGGAATGCCCTCCGAGTGGTGATCAATGTGAAAATTTTGACGAATTTAACGAGTTCATCGATAAACGACCGGTCAATTCAATTGGATTCATTATTCACGAGCTATTTAATAGCAAAAGCTAATTGTCAAACGGATAAGAGAGAAGGAGAGAGCTCTCTTACCTGCCACGACAATTTTCTCACCTCAAAAGCTCAAAAAATCTGTGCGCGGACGAACGAACGCCCAGAGTTTATTCAACTATTTATCCTCAAGTAAGTTAACAATAAAATCAATGAATAAACGACAATGTGCAATAATTATTCAAGTTGTGGTATTGACTCGACGTATCAGTGTCTTGAATTACGTGCGGGAGTGAAATTATTTATTTATTTATTATTTATTTAGTACATTATTACGGAATGATTGATTGGGCTTTTAACAATTGATTTGGTTGTGAATAATTCGTGGAGATCCAAATATTTTCAAGCATTTTTTTATGGACATTCGGGAGGTGAATTTATTTGACCAGTAGAAATCCAGGGAATAGTCCGACTTGCTGCTGACCTTAAGGTTCATCACTTTTTTTTGGTTTTTCTTTTGGGGGGAAATGAGTTATTTTGTGGAGATGGAGTGTCTCCCTATTCGTAGCTGTCTATCTAGGTATCTAGGCTCGGTGTACGTATTATTTTTAGAGAAACGTAACGTGAGGAGGCGCCGAACCCAAGAGCATTTCATTCGTATCGCTTTGAATCCGTCACTCATGACTGAATTTTCATTTCGCGAGTCGCTTATTTGAAGGATTACAATTTATCCCACGTATTCATCCTCGATTCACCGGGAAATTCAGGGATTTTCCTGAAAAAAAAATACAGGGAAATTCGGTGGGGCATATGTAATCGATGGATAGATTTTGGAATTTATGGAAAATCCGGAAAATGCGGGGATGTAATCGATGGTT